ACCAAGTTTGGTCTCATTTGGACATTTAGTTTACAAGATATTAAGAACAATTCAAAATTCCTTAAATATGCAAATGATCTCGTTAAGTAAATTGAAACTCAATATTGCATATTATATATATTATATTGACGAATCAAGTCTCTACCAAGTTCGGTCTGATTTGGACTATTAGATATTAAGAAAAATTCAAAATTCATTAAATATGCAAATGATGGACGATCGTAAATGGAGTGCGTGTAACTTGTACCTCGGACTACTAATACAAAAATGTACTCGTATTACTAGTCTGAGCTTGTGCTGAATGCAAGAGACTGTTTATATTTGCTATGGGTGGTGACTATTATGCAAATTATCTGTCTATTATGTCTTTGGCTGATTGATTAAAACATAGCTTTCAAAACAATGACATGTGCTTTTGTTTTTAATTAACAAAAATTGATTTTTACACCCTATAAAAACATTCAATTCACTTTTTTTCCTACTGAGTGTTTGCTCCTTGTAGTCCAGCATTGAAAAATACAAAAAAGTAGAATTTGGGGTTTCAAAGCAAAAAAAGGTGTACAGCATCCTTAAGTAAATTGAAACTCAATATTGCATATCATATATATTATACATGTATTGACAAATCAAGTCTCTACCAAGTTCGGTCTGATTTGGACTATTAGTTCACAAGATATTAACAAGAACTCAAATTAATAATAAAATACGCAAATGAGCTCATTAATTGATTCTTTGACAAAAAATCAATGTGCATCTGTATTAGTGGTCACCCTGTATTTGTACCAAGTCTCAGCAAAATCGGTCCAAGCATCTACGAGAAATGATGGACACACCCAAAAAAATGGATTTTACAGGATTTTGACATTCAAAATGGCCGCCAGGCAGCCATGTTTGATCAAAACAGGAAATAAATCCATGTGAATATGTATACCTCCTCACTGTGTCGTTGTACCCAGTGTCATTGAAATCAGTCAAGGCACCTCTGAGAAAATCAATGGACAGACAAAAGCCATGATTAACAATCAAAATGGCTGTCAGTCGGCCATATTTGATCATTTCAAAAAAAGTAAAACAATGTGTTTGTAACAAGTCTCAACAAAATCGGTCAAGCCATCTCCGAGAAATGACGATGGACATACACAAGGACCGAATTTGACTGACTTTTGGCATTAAAATGGCCGCCAGTCAGCCATATTTGATCGAATCGGAAAATAAATTGACGTCCACATGTATGGTTGACCACTATGTCGTTGTACAAAGTTTCAAAAAAATCGGTCCAGCTTCTCCGAGAAATCACCCCGGACGGACTGACGAAGGCGAAACTACATGCCCCCTCCCGGACTTTGTCCTTGTCAAACTGCCGGGGAACATGATATATTCATTAAACACATGAGACATTATTTTACGCCACTAAAGTGTTAGTTTCGTCCGTTCATGCGTCTGTCCGGCATCATTTCTCGGACATGTGTCGACTGGTTTTGTTTTTGACTGACTTCTTACCATTTCTTAGATACCGTTTCAACGAGTTTGTTCAAATTCAAGATATGATGGATACATGATTTTCTCGAACTATCAATTGGTATTTTTTTCAGATTTCAATAAACTTTAACTAAGTTGTAACCATTTTCGTCAACAAAACAACCAAAATGAAAAGAATGATATGTTTAATGATGCTTGTCGGTTTGTAAGTAGTAGTAAGTAACACTAGTCTGAGGTTTGCTGCGTTCGACTCGCGTGTTGTTCTGACTTGTATTAGTCTGAGTTCTGATGTACCTCCCTCTAGATGATAACAGTTTAAATTATAAAAAAAAAAAACATAAGCAAATTATGTAATTTCTAATTTTAGCTTTCTATTCACTTTATAATAGATCGGACATACTTCAAACTCATTGAGTTCAAGGGTAGTTTCGTTTGAACAATCGTCCCTATTTAAAAGGTAGCAAAATACCAAGAACAAAGCCGCAAATTGTGGGGAAAGTACGCACGTGATGTAGACGTAGTACTACGCTGACTTTAAGTCCTAAATATAAAACGCAAGACATGATAATGTGAAAATGTCTTGTGATCAGATTCAGTAATATTTGTGTAGACTCCTGTCATATTTGAAAACTCGGCCCAGAGTGTTCAATCACTGCTACACATCAAATTCCAAATGAATCACAAGTTTTCTATGAAACATTGCAAAATATAATGAAACATATTCACGATATTATTCATGATATCTAACGCCATTTATTTATTTTTTTCAAAGACAATGACTGTAACATTTATGTCTTGCACCAAATCTATTGTAAATTGCGTTCCGACAGTTCTCTTTACTGACGGGAATTCCAACGAATTAGAGCGCGTCCCCGCGAGCGCGCCTTACTTGAGAGCTGGTTGTAACACAAGTTATGTTTAGATGTTCACCCTCAGAATGCGTTTTGCATGTGCCATTGGTCAGATCAAAGACACTTTTTCTATTGTCTTTGGTCAGATGTAGATTGGAGGCGAATTACCACACTGGGGCAGAACCTCTGACTATGTCGCGCTAGAAATGGATTTGACAAGTTCAACCCATAAATCACTTCGTTTAGTACGTTCTCTATCGAGATTCTGGCCATCCACAAATGACTATCCCGCATATGTCACGTGATATTTTAATGTGTTTACCCGGTCATCTAATTTTCCACTTTTAATACTTCGATATTCAAGTTAATTTATTAACGAATCGCTATGGGAGCCGCATCGCTATTTTTTTTTACCTTGACATCGAATGTACTCCTCCTTTGTAGTTGAAATATCATATAATGATATTATATGACTATATTATATGGTTAGACTACAAGGTAACGGTTGTTGTGTTGAATGTGTTTTTGAGCGCCCCTAAATTATAATTGGTGGGTGTGTGTCAAGGTCCACGCATATAGGGACGAATCTCCATACCTATGTACATTTCTTTGGTTGCGGCATGCATGTTCTGAACTTGTGTGGCGGTGGCACCGGGGGGGGGGCACTCGCCGCCGTAAAAGAATGTGTCGCCCCTCAAATCAAGCTGAAACCCTTTGTGTCAGCAAAATTTGCCCCTCAAAATGTAGAAAATAGCGTTTCAGAGAGTCTAGATTTCAGATCTCGCCCTCAGGCAAAATTTCGTTCCGCCGCTTTGATTTCTGATTGTTATGATTGAGGACATGTAATGTTTAACACATATAGTGGTTACCGTTGTTACCGATATACTGTACATATACACCACGTTGCAATGCGATAATGAACACATTGTAAAGATGCCCCGCCAAACTGAACAACCTGCAACCACCCCTGCTAGTATTGTTAACTGTTGCTTGTGTTGTTTGATACTACAGGTTGATGACCACATTATTCTGAACAAAGTACGTTATTTCTAAAGCAGGTAATTACGTATTCGTTCGACGAAACATCTACTACGCATGTGCGCTTATTGTTTTAGTACGTACAGTCACTGCGCATGTGTATTAGTGTTTTTTTATTTCATTAAACGAACAACTGTAAAGTATCTAACCTTAAACCGTGTCAAACAATAATGCATGCTTGACACAGTTTAGTAATTTGGGCTACTAATGTGGTCAAAATTATTACCAGACCTTTGAATATCAACCAGGAGCCACTGTGTTTATTACTCGGGTTCAATTCAACTTATGAACACGGGGTAGTAAGTTTGTTTAAGGGTGGCGGGGACGGATGAAATGAGGGGAGGTGACAACAGGTTTTGTGTGAGCAATTCTACATAGAAAGTCAAGGGTGTCGACATGGAGTGGTATTGAGACATATTATTAAAATATTGATAATAAAAATACATAGTAGTTCGTCTTTTATAGCGGAGCATTCCATAATCAGTTCCCACAAATAATTCTAATTGTCACCGCCGTATTTTGCTTAAAATAACTCTTCCTTCTCAACAACATCACTGGAACTTTCGGACCAGCAGCGAGGAATTGTGCCCAATAACGCCATGGCTCGTCTACTACTGTAGAAAATCACCAGCTGTGACGCTATCATCGCATAATTGGATACTCGCATTGTCAATCACTTGGCTGGTGTATTAATTTTGAAAGTGTTCCTGTGATATGACAACATTACCCTAGTCTATCTTAGATAAGATGGTCTGTGATCACTCATCACGTATCAGGATGCGTGTTTTCTTGTTCTTCATGGAGCCTCTCGGGATACACAATTTTCGTAACTCTGGTAACCCGAGGAACCTGTGTACAGCAGATGGAGTGTTGTTAAAGGTACTGTAAAAGCGCGTTTATGTAAATGTCCAGCATATATTAGAGACTGTACTTACTAAAAGATATTACTGAACTATATCTCAGACTAGTATTACTAGTCTGAGACTATATGAAACGAGGGTATAATTACTGCGATAAATATTGTTTATTTATTTTTATGCTTTACCATACGTTGTTGAAAATGTCGCTTCTGCAGTTTCTGAAAGCTGTGAACACCTGGTTGATTTGCGTTCTCGTCTGCTTCATGCACCACTACAAACTGAATTCAGACAGCGCAGCCACAGTATGTTCAACTGCGAATGTGGTCAGGATATCCCAAGATACATCTGGACAACGCTCGCTGTGTCGAGATTTCTGCCCGCTACACCGTGATGGGTTCAAAGATAAAATAACAGAATTGCACGGATCACAATATATAAAATATGATGTTTTTATTAAATGTGTATACCCAAACTACAATAACATTTAAAACAATGTTTATGAATTTCTGAGCATTTGTTTAGGTAATTGATTATATACATGGAAGTTGTATTGTAAACATGCGTAAACTAATACAGTGACCATTATTATGTATAAAAAGTCGTGTAAAATGAGTTTGGCAATGGGTTATGTATGTGGTGAACCGAATTGTGTTTAAGATAATGTCTTCAACGGAATATATTCTCAACATATATATATATATATATATATATATATATATATATATATATATATATATATATATATATATGTATATAATAAATTTAGCAACGTGGGAGGGCGTGATGTATAACAAGATGGCGTCACTTGTACATTTTAGTGTTATTGTGCTTTTGTATATTTTAACTTGAATGATTCCTGTACGTCAGAGTTGGTTCCACGGTGACATCAGTTGGTCTTCCAGATTGTTTCTTTTGTATGCCTTGGGCAAAGTGGGATCAGCTGGAGTTAGTCGATGTCCTTTCTAATTTAGTACAGAAAAACACATAATTCGCACAACAAAGACAACAACAACAGTAACAGTAGAAAATGTTCCAAGAAAGTGAAATTAAAAGTTACGAAAACAATTTAGCTTCTCTAAATAGTATACAAACACAAACAAAATAAATGAGTAAAATAATAGTTAATAGGCATAATGTACATT